GGGTTTTTAAAAGTATTAAGGGTGAGTTTGTTGATAATCATCCAGTAACTATTTTTTGGAGTCATTGTTAACAGTGTAACAGAGATAGTTGGATTTGGATGAAAACGTAAGTCGTGTCATTACGAAAAGAACAGGTTTAAGGGGACGGAGTTTTGGGGGGAGCGTGATGTGAAAAAGAGAAAAAGAAAGCTTACGTGCCCGGTGATACTCCTTTTCTACAGACCGAGTTTTCAACGTTACACGTTTTTAACATAACAAGCGAAAACTTGGTATGCAAGGGTATGTTCTTGATCTCTTAAAAATTTTGTTTAAAGGGGCGGGTCTTGTTTCACTTGGCGAATGCTTTCCCCAGGCTATGACGGTCTCAGATGTATTCATTTTTTCTAGTGCTCATAAAATAGTTCAGTCATTTGTATAATTGCTCATTCGTGCTTTTACGGTTTTGTAATGGTGTGACTGCCGAGCCCTATCATATCTCGAGCGGCATTTTCAAGATGCTAAAAAATGTTGAGGGTTGGTTGACGTGGGTAGGCCCAAATGCCCCGGTGCCAGGTAAGTCAGTGGAAAGTTGGGACGTTATTGGGAAAATTCGTGTGGCACTACTGAAGGTGTTGTTTTGTCTTCCTCTTGAATCTTGGTTATTTGGTTGTGACCAAGTGGTTTTGAGTTGGTTGTTTGGGAGAATGTGCTTTTTGATGTTAATGGTTTGATGTTGTTGGTTTTGTTTTGATTGTGTTGTTGGTGCTTACTAATGTTGTTGTGGGTTGGGTTTTTTTGTTTATTGTCATTTTTTTGTGAGGTGATGTTGGTGTTGTCGGTGTTAAGAATTGTTTTTTTGTGGTCCCCCGTGTGAGACCCCGGTTTATAATTTTTTGTATATAAATTTTTTTTTTTACTTTTTATTATATTGCTGATATCTATTAGTAGAAAAAAAAGTTATCTTACTTATATTATTATTGAGGGGTTTACCCGGAGGGTTCGGGGGGCAACGCCCCCCGGGCCCCGGGTTTTGACCAGGCCCCCTGGTGATCGAGCCCCATAAAGGGTTTTGTTGGGTGCAGCAAACCAAGTACGAGCCCCGCCCGGCTGGTCGGAACGACTTTGGGGGTGTCCCCTGCCCGTTGAGGGGTGCCCGGGGTTGTTGGTAAACCCCCTTTTGTAGTGGGAGGGGTTGAACAGTTCGGGCCCTGAATTATTGTAGGTCTTTAACGTGCTGTGACACCCCTTTCTTTTATTGGGGGGGGTTGCTCGTCTGAAGTTTTGTTTCGTAGTGAGTGATTTTCGGGCAATTCGGTTTCCCCAGGTTTTTT